AGGGGTTTCCCTGGGCGTGCCCTGGTGGGGTGAACTGGCCTGAAACCCCGCGACTGCAGGTCTGGCGCGTCCCTGTGCCAGCAACCTTTCAGTGGAAGCTGCCGGTCAGAGCCTCCGAGTTTCGTGGGGGGGAAACGAGAGGGCCTGCGGTGTGCTCTGAGACCCCCGGCCCTGCTGAGGCATCACTGTATTTAATCCTCTCAGTCCTCCCAAATCCTGTGAAGCAAGTGTCCTCACCACTGAGCAGATGGGCAGACTGAGGTGCAGGGCAGTGAAGTCAGGCGTGCAAGGTCACACAGCTGCACTAAATGGGATCTGAAGCCAGGTTCCCGGGTCTCCAGAGCCCACACCTGTTCTCCTCTGCTGGCTTCCTCGGACACCCCAGATCTCAGGAAGAATCCCGAGCCTGGGAAGGCAGGAGGACTCCCAAGGAGACAGCAGCAGCCCCGGCTCAAGGCTGAGCTCTAGTCAAGGAGGTCAGCAGGGAGGAGGAGACAGAGTCACGGCCACCTCGGCCCCTGTGTGCTTGCCCTGGACAAGCCCTGGACTCCTGTCATCTGGAGTGATCTGGCTCTGCCTGAACTGAAGTCTTCTGCTCAGAGGGCGGCTGTCCCTGGAGTGCACCCTGCCTGGTCCTGGGGGCCACACAGGGCATGCATCTGGCTGTTGACCCGCCAGTGTCCCAAGCTGGCACTGTTGGGCCCCACCAGGGGGCATCTCCTGGTGGGAGTGATGGGAGAGAAGAATGCAGCAGGCCCAGGGGAGTATCCGAGCACGTGTACGCCTCCACACTAGAAAGCACGGGAGTGAAAGGCCGAGAGGGAGACGGAACACAGAGGAGGGAGAGCACGAGTGAGCCAGAGCTGGAGCTGGAGCTGGAGCCAGAGGCATAGCCAGAGCCACAGCCAGAGCCAGAGGGAGCCGGAGCTGGAGCCAGAGCCAGAGCCAGAGGGAGCCAGAGCCAGAGCGAGCTGGAGCCAGAGCCAGAGCCACAGCCAGAGCCAGAGCGAGCTGGAGCCAGAGCCAGAGCCCG